GGGGGGGGAGAGATGGCACGAATGCCCCTGTTTTTGGAGACGCCCGGAGAGGGGGGATTATCTCTGAGCTATTTCAGTCCTGCGGGCTCCGTCTGGACGCCCCCGCAGGTACACAGGAATGCCCCTTGTTAGCTAACAATGTTATTTCAGCGGCCAGATGGCACAGGAGGATTTTTTTTCTCCACTCACTTTGGTCTCCCCCTCATTTTCCCTCCTGATGTGACAGAACCTCTGCAGGTTATTAGTTAACATGGCAAGAATTTATCTTTTTACGCCGATGAAGAATCACTGTTTCTCATTCAGGTGACGTTCAAGTCTGGGCTCCGTTAATCAGCACGTTCCCAGGAAAAACAGCTAAACGCCCAAAGGGGAACCTTTTATCTGGGTCCAAGTTTCTGTGGGGACAGAATAATATGTGATACTGAGCATGAAGAGCGAGGGGGAGCAGGAAACTTTTAGTTTTTAAGCGGCAGACGTTTTAAATACACAGAAAATGAATGAAACATGGAACTTTTAGTGAGAAGTAAAAGTTTGAAATTAAAATTTAAATGAGATTTTATCTTTATTATATTGTTAAAATCTTACAATTATGTTTTTTTTTTTACTGAACACGACAAATATCCTGTTTTGATGATTTTACCTTAAAATTCACGATGTCATGATCAGCATCAGATTTCTTTGTCTCGTATGATCATGAATCAAAGATCTTTGATTTTGGGAGATTTGAATGTGACGTTAAAGAACAGATCTCTTCTTTAAAGACTCTAGTTCCTAAAGTTGATCTTTTTAAAGTTCATGTTCTCGCTCTTTTGCTCAAACCTTCTGAATGAGACGGCAGGTTTGATCACCAGTGAGTTTTCGGTGCGGCCTGAGATAAATGAACTTCCTGCTGAACTCCAGACGACAGTTTGAAGTATTTCTGATTCATGAGTCGACATCAGGTCTGTAATTACTGAATTAGTCAGAGGCTGTAATTAGTTGTTTGAATAAACTCCCTGAGGTGTTGGAACATTTCATTACAGTTTATTCTCCCGTGTTAATGAAGCGGATGACGACACTGTTATGAACAGTTGTTCAGGAGATTTCTAAAGTTTTTTAACGAGTCACTTTTCATCCTGAGCTTCATTTTAAACTGAATCCACTGACTGATTCGTGGCTTCTCTTTGGCTCTAAGTCTCTTACATGATCATTGGAGGGTCAGAGGAATATTTGCTCTGACCTTTGACCTCTGACAGATCAGATCAGAGATCAGTGCAGCTCAGGATAATCCAGATCAGATCAATTCCACTTGTGTAAATCTGCACAAATGGGATAAGTCCCCCCTCAGATGTTTACAGGTTAAATTATTAAGGATTGAAAATCAGCTTCGAGTGACTGCTCCACTTCATTAATGAGCTTTTTCTCTCTAATTTGCAGATTAACTCCAGGGGATGCAGAGATAAAAAGCTGTGAGCTGACTCTGTCATTCTTTTTTTATTTCTTTTACCTGTGAAGAATTTACTGCAGGAAATCAAGTGGCTGGAGTCTCAGCGTGCGTGAGCCAAGACTGAAACGCCGCTTTATTATGTCTTACGACGACGAGAGGAGGATGTAAACAGAGCAGGAAATCAACGACTTTACAGAAAAGCTTCTGGGCCTTTTCAGCCTAACATATCTTTTACTTTCCTTCTCTGACCTTGAGGAAGCCGTGTACCCTCCACTCTCTGCAGCTGCCTTTGTCAGAAATCACTCTTCCATCTGCAGCAGCGAGGCTTTTATCCAAAACAACCATTTCTGGGCCTTTACCGGTTGTTTTGCACACATCTCACTTCAGCTCAGACCTTTCAGCCTTCCAAGATGAAGCAGAGCCTGACCCACACCCGAGGGAAAGACAAAAACCAGTGACATTTAACGAATGTCCTCTGTGTGAGCGAGACTTTACACGATGCGTTGCTGTATTTTCTCCTCTTGTTTAGCTCTTATGTAACTCAGCTGTTTTATTACTCGTCTTTTATTGTTCGAGGACGGCTGCAGAAATAGATTTTTGTGGCTCTGGGCTGCGTAAACGTGGAAATGAGTGATTACCGTGACTGATTATTAAATCATAAAAGTGTCATGAGGCGTTTTTTGACCTTTTGTCAACGTCAGGGAGCGGGGCCACTCTGCACGCCTCCTCCGGTAGTTTCTCTGTGTTCCAGGGCTGCAGAGCCAAAGTAAACACGTGTCAGTCTGGAGGTAAACTCTGACAAAGCATGGACATGAGGAGAAATCACACCCGGCTGGCTCCACTCCACTAAAACCTGTCAATTAATGAGGCTGTGAGTTTTCAGGCCTTCGCTCCAGCTTATTCTGTGTCCTGCTGGTTTTCACTGTCAACAGTAGTTTGTAGTTCCTCCTGCTCAAAGCCTAAAGTCCACGTTTCCAATCAATGCAGCATTCCTCCCGCTGTCCCTCTCTGTTTCTTCTGTGGAAACGTCAACATCAATACTCTGATGTTTTCTGGGTTTTCCGTGGCAGCCAGAGAAACTTCTGGGAAGTTTGCAGGACACAACCTCTCCTCTGAGTTACAGGGAGTGGAGGCCGACACTGAGAACAACTGGAGGGTCCAGATGTGTCGGGGAGCATATCTGAGGTTAACTTGTACCTTTTGTTTCCCATGTCCCCCCCCCAACCCACCCCCCCACACCCCTCTGCCTGTGCACAGCAGGATGATTCACAACACTTGAAACAGGTTTGCAGCACAGAGTTTGTCAGAGCTGCAAGAAAAACTCATAACAACACTGAAGTTGAGAGAAACTCTGAGGTTGTGCGTGAAGTAAACAGAAGTGTGCAGATGAATCCCGGAGCAGAATTCAACAATAAAACAAGACAGGACGATCTGCACACGTTAAACATTCTCATGTCTGAGCGAAATCATGTTTCTATGGTGATTGTTGTGCAGCAGTCGTGTGTTTCACGCAGGATTCATGTCAATGCAATATGAAGTCTACTGCTCCGGCTGCAGTCTAGACAGTGTCATTAAAGATTGATGGAGGAAAAGCAGGTTTCAGAGGAGGCACTGACCGCTGGTTTGCTCCCGGTGCTCCTGGCTGTGGGTGCTGGTCTCCGGGTCCACTTTGCGCCGGCACTGCCCCTCGCCCTGCACCAGTTGCTCCAGGGGAAGCTCCGAGTCGGGCGTCGGGTAGCACCGCAGCCCGGTGGCGCACCTCGGGGTGTACACGCCGCACATCTCGCCCTCTTGCCGGGCGCACACGGGGCAGCACCCGCAGCCCGGTTCGCGCACGATCTCCGCGCAGGTCTCGGTGAGCGTCGGGCACAGCGCCTGACGCTCCGCGGTGCAGCCCGGGCAGCGGAACACGATCTCCGCCAGGGAGGCTCCGGCGAGGGACGCGCAGAGGATCAGGAGGCTGCAGCGCACGGACGAAGGCATGGCTGCAGGCTGCAGGGAGGTGCTCATCACCGAGGAGCGATGCAAGAAATCCCAAGTGCGAGGAAGGGGGAGACACGTGAAGGCGAACAGGTGAAGCCGGGGGCTGGAGGTCTGCTGGGTCCTACACCTTCCCAGGTTTACTCTCCTGGTTCTGCACAGTGAGGATCGTGCACATGCACAAACCAAGTGTTGTGATCACCTCACTGTCGGTTATTATAAAGTTATTGTGACACATGAAAATGATTTTACAAAGTTCAGTTGAAATGATCAGTGATTCTTCAAAAACTTTTTTATTGTAACTATTATTTATCAGTGGTGGAGAAAGTAATCAGATTACTGTAACGTACTAAAAGACATTTAATGAATGAGCTTCTTCATCGATCATTCACCGACTGATCACTTGATTGATTAACTTGTGAAAAGTTAAATCACATTTATCTCAATCTACAGTTAAAAGCTCAGTAATCCAGTGAACTGAAAGCAGCAGGTTAAATGTTCCTCTGATCGAGTGTTGATTGATAAATGAGCGACTGAGGCCTGATCTCTTATCTTCTCATGTCACAGACACATGAACTCTGCTCTTAGGGGACAGTCACATGATCCATGACCTTTAACCTCCAACATCATAACAAAAGACAACGATCCTGAAGTTTGGTCTCTCTCTGTTCTGATCTCCAGTTGACCTCTGACCTCTGTGCTGCTCTCCAGTTGACCTCTGACCTCTTTACTGATCTCCCGTTGACCTCTGACCTCTCTGTGCTGATCTCCATCCTGTAGTTTCTCCAGACGCTGTAATTTGAATTAAAGTCTTGAATCTGAACAGAAGACGTGAACTTGGTCTTCAGGACGGCTCGAGCTCGGTCAGTTAAAATTCTCTCACTCGTGTCTCACTATACGTTCGCAGCCTGTTTGTTTCAATCAGCACAGCCCGTCCCAGCTCCCAGAATTCACGAGTAAACAAACAGACAAAAGGACTATGTGCCGAGCGCTCCTCACGTGGAAAGACCTCCCTCGCTGTGGCCGAGTTGTCCATTGACACTCAATTAAAAGTCACCAGCTGCTCGCAGCTTATACGCCCGTGTACAGTAATGCTACTGTGCACATATGCTGCAATGTTTCCAATCGATCGGCGAGGCCAAGCCTTGAGGTGCCGAGCCCGGCCGCCGAACAAACTCCTATTAACCCCGTCCAGTGTGGCGGACTAATCGGTGTTTATCCAAGGGCCCAGAAATAGAAGTGGCATGTGTAACCTTACTCCGCAGATATAAATGCAGATTGTTTTGTTTTGCGGGTGCCCCCTGATTTAACACTATTTGGCCCTATTCACCGTCGGCCTCCTGGCTCACCTTAGGGTGGAGGGAGGAAGAAAGGGCACATTTGAAGCCGTCTTGTGTCTCAGGGGTGTGAGTCCGGGGGATGCCCAGAGGGCTGTTTGCACATAGAACCTCATATGTCATTTTATGAAACCGTGGATGGAAAAGCAGCGGGGGAGAAGGCCTGGCATTTTATAAATGCGAGCCTGGGGGCCAGGATTTGTGTCTGGGATGGCCACTGGCTAACAGGCCGAACAGGCCGCAGTATCTGCCCATGTGTGCGAAGTAATCCCCACCAAGGTCAGTTACTTAAATTCCAGCCCATGGAATTGTTAAGCAAACACAAGCTCTGGATAAACTCCACATTGATAGAGGAAGGCATGGGATCAGTGACGAGGACACATCCAGCACATGTTCCTCAGTGAGTCAACAGAGGGCGGTTTGTATGCGAGAGGTCATCTCCTTAATTACAGTACAGTCAGTCCCCAAACCTCTGCATGTGTCCGTCTCACCTGGACACTTTGTGTAAAACTGCAATCAACTTGTTTATTCATGTACTTGTGCACATAAGTTTCTACGTAAAGATTTATTTAAATCATGATCGAATCCTGACGTGTGTGTGTTTGGCTCCATTACTACGGTCAAATAATTCTGCCAGATAAATAAACATTGTCATGATAAACATGTTTCAGTGGTTTGTAAAAGCAAAACATTTTCAAAACTCGTAATTATTGGACAATATAATCAATAAAGAAGCTGTAACAAAACACAATCATATCAGATTACACACATGAACCAAGACTTTAGAAGGAAGTTATCGAATGATTCACAGGAAAGTCTGAAAATCAACGGTCGTGTGTAAAAACACCTCGGCCGGCGTTCATCTTTCAGACTTTGATAATGAATGTGTGCACTGTTCACTGTTTGCTTTTGATTTCACTTAATTAACGCTCCCTCTGATTGGATAAGTGCGGCCATTGAGCAAGGGAGGGGGTCGGAAAAGTAATTTATCATCAGGTTACTGGGCCTGAAACAAACTGAAGCCAGGCAGGTCACACTCACAGAAACCAGCTGCATCAGGTGTTTATTCTGAAGGTTTGAGTGTTTCATGTGTGTCCGGCGATAAAGGAACTTTTAAAGGTTGTTTTGATTTTATTTTTATTTTGATGTGACTAAAAAAATAAGAAAATGAACTTTTTAATCTTCAGCTGGTGAAACAAGCAGCGTCTCTCTGGATGGAAATGTTTACTGAATTACACTTCATAAATCCTAACATGGAAATGTTCACATCACAAGTCCCGAATGGAAAAATGCTCATGTGTGTGCACGTGTTGTTTTTTTTGTGTATACATGCGTGTGTTTGTTTGCTGCCTAGCAACTGGTGATGATGCATGAGCAAATTAGGAAAGTTCTTGCTTTATTTGCTAATTCAAGTATCTGTTATTTATTCCTTAATGAAGTGAAGAACCACAGAAACCCGCTCTCTCAACGGGAGCAGTGAATGTTGAGTTTACTCCCTGAGGTCAGCTCTGCACTCACACTGTGGACCCCCTGTGTTTCTCTAAGCCGGCGTCTCGCACGGCCTCAGATCCTCCGTCCAACATCAACCATTTAGCTCCAAATCAAAATTAATCTGAGCCAACACTGACGCTCTCGGCCCATCGGCTGCCAGGCTCTGTTTCTTTTTGGTGCCGCCACTCGGATATACGGTTTGACCGGCGGGCAGATGTGGTGCGAGGGTCAGGTTGGTGCATTTGACAGATTGGCTGCTCCGTCCTCGCCGCCCGGGCCCAAACACTGAAAAGGTCTCAGTTTTGACCTCTAAAGGGTCCGCACATGAAAGATGAGGCTGTTTCTATGGGTTAATGATGAGGGGTGGTGAGGTGGATTGTGGGTAGGTTAAGGTCGGTCATGGTTAGATTAAGGGTCAGGTTTTAGTTACACAATGAATGGAAGTCA